TTTTAATACTTAATCCTTTGATGAGACAAAGCAATCTTTTAACTCTACGCATCAATCTTTCCATCCTGTTTAAAATGTTCACAATTTCTGTAGATCAGTGCATGAATGTTTTGTTGTTCCTCACTGTATCTGATGGCGCTCCACATTGCTATCTAAGTTGACTCGAGAGAGCATATGAAGAGCTATTAGCATTTTGTATCTCACTGCTCTTTTGAAATCCCGTAGTCAAATCGGTCATAAATATCCGTTGTATTTACAGGTGAACAGACGTAATGCTCTTCGAGATCCACATCTTAATTGATTTGGCAGAGGATACTGACAAAAATCACCATCTGATTATTTATACGGTTAAACTACCATTTTGGATGAGCCAAGATTAGTCGAGATCGCTAAGAACCTATATGGCTAAGTCAATGGAGAAGTCATCCATCAAAGGGAGTGCAGCATGGTCATTTTATTTTAATATACGCGGCATTCTGCCTAATCTCAGAAACATTGTCCAACGACGGGTATGAAACTCAGTGCAAACATGATCCCCTGACTCACATTTAGGTTAAATATGTTTCGCGATTAACCTTTGTACAAAGTGAACACATCATATGATGTTGCAGTGTTTAGTCATACAACCATGAAAGATTGTCACCATTACACTTGTAGTGACCTACTTTTATGAAGAGAACGCGACTGGTATAATAGAAACAATTGTCATTCTAACCAATTGTACCAGTGATTGTTTTACTTTAGATAATGTTTTCAATTATTTGAATTGTATTATGAACTAGGAATCCCAGAAATAACGCAATTGAATTAAGAAGACACAAGCACAAGCGAATGTATTGTATTTGGAATTCGAAATCAAGCATTCAACAAGTACAAAGGTATCATTAGTTCATTCTTACACCACACTTTACCTGTTTGTTTAAGTGTACGGAAACACACATTCTTCTGTTGACCTTGCACGGACCCTTGTACACTCAGCAGTCCCGCTTGTAAACTTTGGCATGACCTCGGTATTATTTCGATACCACAAGATCGCCAACAAATACATCTTACTACAATCTTTAATTGCCTTCTGAAATTCGGTCTACGGAGGGATCTAACCTGGTAATTGGCACGTAGTCTCCCTGTATTAATCATAGTCAACCGCTACTCGACGCGACGCTACACACTCCTTGAGGAGATTTTAGAAAAGGTACAACTCGAAGAGCAAAAAACTGGTACGCTTCCAGATTTTCTAGTGACGCATCGCTCTCATTAAAAATGATCTCGCTTTCAGGTTTGAATTTTGATGTGATCTGTTATTGAAGTATTGTTGATTGATCCACTCTTAACTTACGTCACAAATTACAAGAGAACCAAATTCTATTTCAGGCATCAAAGTCCATTCGTAAACTACAAGTGATCAACCCAAACATAGTGTTCTTGAATGTTTAAGTTTCTGGAGCAAAATTTCCAAAATACTTAACTAAAACAGTGAGAAACCGAGAATGTCCAAGGTCAAAGTTGTCAACAAACAAGTTCTAGATTTGAACAAAACAAATATATCTCAAACATAGTGAAGTTAATTCCATTCAATATAACAACTTTTAACCCGTTGAGTACTTACAGTTTTTCCCGTAACATAACATAAGATTATACTACAAATAAAATGTCTCCATCTATGGAAAATATGTCAACAGATATTAAGTTACATTAAATCTTGCAGTTAAAATAATCTAAATATACAGTAAGCTAAGTATTTAATAAACAGGTAATTTCTTCATATAGACGTAAAGGTAAGGATTGGCAAAGTAATAACCGCATTCTTACAACTAAAGAACATATGGAACTCAAAACAATTATCAACAAATATCAAAGTCACAATCTTCAATACGAACGTCAATGCAGTTCTGCTGTATGGAGCTGAAACTTGGAGAACTACTAGAATCAACATCAAGAATGCACAAGTATTGGTAGACAATGGATTGCATAAGATACTGAATGTCCGTTGGTCGGATACCATCAGCAACAGCCTACTGTGAGATAGCACAAACCAACTTGCAACTGAAGAGGAAATTACGAAAAGATGTTGGGAGTGGATGGAACATACATTGAAGAAATCATAAAACTGCATCACAAAGCAAGCGCTTACTTGGAATCCTGAAGGGAAACGGAAAAGAGGATGGTTGGAGAACACACTGAGTCAAAAATTGGAAGCAGATATGATAAGGTTGAATGGCACTTGGAAAGGAATGCCCAGGACAGTGTTGGATGGTGAGTACTAGTGGCTGGCCTGTGCACCTCTACGAGGGGTAGCAGGCGTAAGTAAGCAAGTAATTTATTCAATAACTTGAAGTTATCACAGTGACTACACTCGCATATTAAGGTACAAACAGTGTTTGTAAATCGATGTTTCATTGTTTATTGTGAGATTATTTCACTTTTCCACGACACCATTTTCATAGATGTTACTTTACTAATCTGTAACCGTAGTACATCAGTAACGCATGAATAAAACTTCACATTGTAAGAAGCTTCAAATGAGCATATCAATCACGTGAGTTCAATTTCAACGATATCAATGTAGGTGTCATTATATATAGAAAAGTCTAGAAAACGCTTAAAAAATGACAGGAAAGTTAGGTGCAATAGTTCAGTAATTGTTGATTATTCAAACATTTCTTGATTTTCCATGATAACGAATAGCTTTCATTTATAAATATAAATACCAAGGTTGAACTAAGGAGTTAATACCAAATATATTTTTGTTATATCCCAGACGAAATCGCAACATTACAGATCATTGTGGAACAATCAATTGAATGGAATTCATCACTCTACATCAACTTCATTGACTACGAGAAAGCATTTTATAGAGTGGACAGAACAACACTATGGAAGCTTCTTCGACACTACGTCGTGCCTCAGAAAATAGTCAATATCATACGGATTAAACTGCTTAATCGTAAATGGAGGACAGCTGACAGACTCGTTCGGTGTAAAGACCAGTGTCAGGCAAGGTTGCTTACTCTCACTCTCCTAGTGATCGACTGGATCATGAAGATGTCAACATCTAGGGGAAAGCATGGGATACAGTGGATATCTAGGATGGAGGTGGACAATCTAGACTTCGCAGATGATCTGACTCTTCTATCGCACACGCAACAACAAATGCAGGAGAAGACAACCAGTGTAGCAACAGCCTCAGCAGCAGAAGGTCTCAACATACACAAAGGGAAAGTCAAGATTCTCTGATACACACACACATCATGCACCAACCCAATCTCACTTGACGGAGAAGCTTTTGAAGATGTAAAAACCTCCACATATCTGGGCAGCATTATTAATGAACACGGCGGATCTGATGCAGATGTGAAGGCGCGGATTGGCAAAGCAAGAGCTGCATATTTACAACTGAGGAACATCTGGAACTCAAAAAAAACTGTCAGCAACACCAAAGTCAGAATTTTAAATACAAATGTTAAGATAGTTCTACTGTATGGGGCGGAAACTTGGAGAACTACGAAAGCCATCTTCCAGAACATACAAGTGTTCATTAACAGTTGTCTACACAAAATACTTCAGATCCATTGGCCAGACACTATCAGAAACAATCTACTGTGGGGGAGGACAGACCAGACTCAGGCGGAGGAAGAAATCAAAATGAATCGTTGGGAGTGAATAGGACACACATTGAGGAAAACACCCAACTGTGTCACAAGGCAAGCCCTCAAATGGAATCCTCAAGGCCAAAGGAAAAGAGGAAGACCAAAGAACACATTACACCGGGAAATGGAGATAGACATGAGTAAAATGAACAAGAATTGGATGGAATTAGAAAAGAAGGCCCAGGATAGAGTGGGTTGGAAAATGCTGGTCGGCGGCCTATGCTCCATCGGGAGTAACAGGCGTAAGTAAGTAAATAAATAATATCCCAATGAGTAAGAGAATTATATATATCTGACTTATTGTAAGCCACTTATTCAAAGTAAATAAATAAAACGAGAATATATTTATTATTGGTATCTAATCATGTTTATTTTGTGCTTAGCAGACAAACAAAAAGTATTTTGCTGAATATTGTCTTAAATCTCTATATGATTCTATTCAAGAGGAGTTGTATCAATAATTTAATCTTACATACTTATGCCTGTTACTTCATATGGAGGAGCATAGGCGTCCCATCAACATTTTCCATCGATATCTTTTCTTGACAATCGTTTCCAGTTGATTATCGTCCTTTTAATATCTGCTTCCAATTTCCGACGCAATGTGTTCTTTGACCTTCTTTTTCCTTTCGCTTCAGGATTTATAGTTAGCGCATGCCATATGATGCGCTTTGATGATTTTCTCAATATGTAGCCTATCCACTACCTTTCTCAAGCCGAGATAAAGCAACAGGGTAGGATATGAGGTCAAGAATCCCATCTCATAGAATACAACTTTGCTAACTAGATTGAATAAAAATTCATCCTTGCAAAATGTAATTCAGTTGATTAACACATTTCATTTATAATTTCAATCATAAACGTATACAATTTTCTAATAACTTTTTTATAATAATGAAAACAAACATGGTGGTCTAGCTTCAATTGACTCATGATTTCAATCAGCGAAATTTCTAAAACTCTCCACAAAATCCCTTCTGATAATAATCATCTACTCACTAGTGACCGATTTCAAGAGGCATTTCCTGGAGTTCTAGTGAGAAGGCGTTACCAGTGGAGTTCAACCAGGTCTGTTGTGAAATATCAACTTACTGAAGAAAATGGTGTAACTTCGTGGATTGGCTGAATTCACACATTAACACCATTGGATGCTGGCTCAGGGGTCTAATTGATTAAGCGCTTGGCGCGAGACTGCTAGGTCCTGGGTTCGAATCTCGCGGGGTGCGCAATCGTAGATGCGCACTGCTGAGGAGTCCCATACTAGGATGAAACAGCCGTCCAGTGCTTCCAGGTTTTCCATGGTGATCTAGCTTCAATTGATTCATGATTTCAATCAGTGAAAAAAACAAATGTTTATAAAGAAATATAATACTTGTAATTTATATAAATAACTCTTTTCCCCCTGTTTCTCTCTCTCTCTAGAAAATACAAAATCTAATCATTCAAATGAATAACTATTGAAACATAAGGTAAATATCATGAAGCTAACATATATCTCTAATTCAGTATGAAGTTAGGATTCATAGATCATGTATAATGATGCTTCTATAGATTCATCTATAGAAACTATCATAGAACTTTTCAATAATCCAATGAAATCATCTTGTTAGTATTAGAATTGAGTAGTAAAATGATTACAATAACCTGATATATGAATTTAATGACTTCATTAAATCATTCTAGACAATATGTAGCACTTAGTTACATATCATAAAATGAATGAATATCAATGAAGGAAAGAAAGAAGGAAAAAAGAAGGGTGATAAAAAAAAGAAACAAAAATCAATCTTATTATACTACTTAAATACATTTTCTAAATTTTAAAAGAAAAAACAAACAAACAATTAATTCATTAATAGTGGATTCATGTGTTATTTAGTTAGGATAGGAATCGAACAAGTATAATCATGAACGGGAGGGAAGGAGGGAGGGAGTTAGTTAGTTAGTTAGTTAGTTAGGGACAGACAGAAGGAGAGTGTGTGTGTGTGTAATTGAAACAGGAATAATACACTCAAATATGATGGTAAATATTCAAGGACATAAAAATGATACATTCAAACAAGGAAATCAATTAAAAACAAACGAATATATAAATCCATACAAATAATAATCATCATCATCATAATATTGTTGCTAGGGAAATAAATCTCATATGGATAATAAAACAAAAACTAGAAAGAACGAAAAAAAGAGGTGAAAAAAATCATTCAATTATTAATTTCTACATAGTTTCGTCCTTTTTCTTCTTCTTCTTCATCATCAATAAATCAATAAAAAAATCAACAGAAAGAAAACAAGTAAACAAACATACAGACAAACAAACAAACAAAACAAAACAATAAACAAATAGTTATACATACTTATTATTGTATTTTAATTAAAATTCATTATAATTTTTTTTTAGCTTTATTAATATATTCATATAATACTATGAATGGTATCATTGTATAATCAGATAATTGATGATGATCAAGATCATGATTATGATTAGAATATGATAAATCCCATAATGTTTTTAATGATAATGGTTTACCAAGATAAATTAAACGAAACCATAAATCATTTAGATTATTATTTGTTAATGAAATATTATCTGAATGTAATGTATTAGATTTCATAATGGATAAATTGGTTGATGATGATGATGATGATGGCGTTGTCGGTGATGATGTTGATGCTGTTGTATATAATTCAAATATAATATCAGCAGCAAATGGTGGCCAACAACCATCGAATACATTTAAACCAAATAATAATAACATAATTGATGAATCATGACATGAATATAAATGAAATTGTGGTACTCTATAGAATGTAATATTGAAAGGAACAAGAAAAAAATAACGAATATTAATGGCTTAATTTGAATAAACAAAAAGATCTAATGAATTGAATTGTACAATATTGAATAGATCAAGATCATATTTCATTAGTGATTCATGAAGAGTATTCTATGATGGGGATATAATTTTCGTTGGGGAGCAAATTAATTATGGAAATATAACGAGTATTGAATACAGAATTCATTCTATGTTGAGACTCTGTAAAGATGTTTCCAATCATCAAGTTAACATTGTATCTAGATTTTCTAATGGATGTCAGTTTGTAACAAAAAAACTAATTTTTAATTACATTTTTATACTAATAATTAGATATTCTATGTCATAACGACACCATGAATCACTTCGGGATATTTGGAACTTAACTACTTACTTAAACGTGTTACCCTTTCGTGGAGGAGTATAAGCCGCCAACTTTACTTAATTACGCTTGTTACTCCTCGTGAAGAAGCATAGGCCACTCACCAGTATTCTCCATCTAACCCTGTCTTGAGCAATCTTTTCCAGTTGTTATTCATCCTTTTTTATCTACTTCTATTTCCCGACGTAATGTGTTCTTTGGCCTTCCACTTTCCCGCTTCCCTTCACGATTCCAAGTTAGGGCTTGCCTCGTGATATAGTTTGATGATTTCCATAATGTATGTCCTATTCATTTCAATCGTCTTTTCCTAATTCTTTCTTCAGTTGGAAGTTAGTTTTTTCTCTCCCACAGAACGCTGTTGCTGATGGTATCCGGCCAATAGATGTTGAGTATCTTGCAAAGACAACTATTTATAAATTCTTGTACATTTTTGATGATGGTTGTAGTAGTTCTTCAAGTTTCAGATCCGTACAGTAGAACTGCCTTGACGTTCGTATTGAAGATTCTGCCTTTGATATTGGTTGAAAGTTATTTTGAGTTCCATATGTTCTTCAACTGTACGAATGCGGCCGTTGCTTTGCCAATCCTCACCTTTACATCTGCATTTGATCCTCCTTGTTCATCGATGATGCTTCCCAGGTACTTGAAGGACTCCACATCTTCCAGAGTTTCTCCATCAAGTGTGATTGGATTGCTGTTCTCCGTGTTGTATTTGAGGACTTTGGTTTTCCCCTTGTGTATGTTGAGGCCTACTGATGTAGAGACTGCCGTACCACTGGCTGTTTTTATCTGGATTTGTTTGTGTGTATGCGATAGGAGGGCTAGGTCATCTGCGAATTCCAACCAGCATTCTATATATATGCAGTATAAGTCTAAAACTCTAGAAACAAAGAACTATACCACCAAAAATATTCAAACACTAATTTTATCAACTACAAGGACATCAACCGGATAGTCTTTATTCTTTAAGGCTGTCAACTTATTCCATTTTTTCACCTTCATCATAGACATATTGATAGGAAGAACGTTCTCGTCGACTAAAATTCCGGGCATTGATCTCCTACCAAAAGGTCCACTTATCGACTTAGAATATGAAGATGATATAGTCCCGTTTAGTGAACACGCTGACAAAATTCCGAGTCCTTTGATAGCTTTGAGCAACAATACCAGAATGTTTGGGAAGCGTTTCTCCGTCTCAAAATGCAGGTTGTTGCTTCAGGACTGGTCTGCGTCAACACCTGAACCAAGGATAGGGAGTAATGTAGTCGAACGCGTTGACAACTTCACTTATCTTGGAAGTCGGATCAGTCCTAATAGGTTGATGTCTGACAAAATCTCAGCACGGAATCAAAAAGTTTGTTTGGCTTTCACCAACTTATTTCACCTATGGTGACAGCGAGATATCCGTCTATCAATAATAGGACAAGTTTAGTGCACGAAAGTTCGTTCTGTTCTAATTTACGGCTGCAAAACGTGGCCATTAAGAGTAGAAGATACTCGTAAACTACTAGCATTTGATCATAGATGCCTTAGAAATATTGTGCGCATCTGCTGGCATCACCGGATAAGTAATAGTCAGGTTAGATGCAAGGTAGGTGTATACACTCTCTGTCTTCCCTTAAACTATGAGATTAAAATTGCTTCATTTCTTTCTATCTACGAACTAATTCTTTATTCCTGTACTATATCCTTATACACAATCTTTCTTTTATATATTATCACCATTGAAATAACTACTTCTATGAATTTCGTGCTCATCCTGTTGTGCTAATGAGTGAGATATGGCAACTTGGACAGACGCATATATGTGCCTGGTCCTACGTTGTAGCTGACTGATTGAGTCTTTATCAAACAAAATTGTTTAACCTAATAGTCAATGATTCCGTGAACTGATGCCACGTCTTGGTTTGGTGGTTCTCCTACACAAGTAAATACCATGTGTAGCGGTATGCGGTGGTTAATGGTACTTAATACATGTTCCAACCATCTCATTTGACGAAAATTCATCACGTTATCAACTGACCCTACAGCTTTGTCTACTACTCTATGCAAAAACTATACCTTAATCAGTTGATGGTCTCAAAAAAGCAACTATTCCCTCTAAATCATCTATAATCAAATAATCACTGTCAACATAGATGAGAGCTAACTCAACTCTCCATATCACATTAGTATGACCGGATGAAATTAAGACTGATTTCAAAGGATATCGAAATAATGTAGTAGCTATGACAATGGGAACAAGTGAACATTCGTGATATAGTTCGATAAAACAGAGTGGAAATGTATGTGTATGAGGGAACACTGGAATTTAATCACAACAATTAGTAACCTACTAATGTCCTCTATTTTTAAAGGGTACATTACACAGCTGTACTGTCGAACGACTAAGTCATGTTGTTCATAAAACATAACACCTTGTAAAAGTTTTAATTTGTCCCATGTGATCTTTATCAAGCATTAACACTATTAATCGATAGCAATATTTAAAACCAGCAGGAGAGAAGGTGAAGAATATATAATATATTTTAATCTAGATTATGGGACAAAGCATCTGAAGAAAATCCACAAAGTTAAGTCGAATTCGTATTATTTTTAATTTATCCAAATAAACATAAATCTTTGATCAGGCTGGAAAGAATGCCCTGCTATGGTCGACGGTGGAGATAGTTAGCTCTCTCTCCCTCTCAAAAATACTCTCAAGTGGCCACGTGCATATAACCACTGTCAGGACAGTTCTACTCACTTCCTTCTCGTTGTGGAGGTATTGCTTAGGGAATTGAAAGAACGAAAAACGAATGTCCAGCGCTTTAACCGAGTTAGTGCATACGGAGAATCCACCTAAGGGAGTTGGAAAACCCTCATTCCAAACCAATGGTGCACATGGGCTCCAGTATCCTGAGGGAAAAATAGCGTATGAATCAATCGTTGGTCATCGGCTAGCATGGAACTGCATCTATCATGTGATTACATCTCCTTACGTTGCTCCACTGCCTTGTGGATCAAACCTTTAAATCAAAGGCTCGGGGCGTGGCCTCCTAAGAAAACCACCTGCTTCGGTTTGGGCACCCGGGCAGTATCACAGCCCACATACAAATCAATTGACTTGTGAAGCGCATATTTATTCGGTGCCCCTTTGTACCAATGTTATTTTGTTTAAATAAATAAACAATGTAACATAAATGAAGGGGATTTTGATAATAGAATTGTACTTCAGGTTCTGAATTTCAGTATATACTTCGAATAACCTCAAGGTAAAGCACTTATTCAGTCTGAATAGAACAGTAATAAAATTTTTAACTATGACAATAAGGTGACTGTTATATCTCTAGATGCTTATATTTTTGATATGACGCGTATAACTTGAGCACTTGAACGCTAGAACCCTTCTTAGTTACAATGAGAAAACAGAAGACTAGGGAAAGGAATATTACTTTAAACAGTGTCAAATTAGAGTACAAACTGTCATGTATTTATAGTTTTTAGTAAAAACGAAATCATCATTATAGCTATCCAATCCGCATACAGGGGGTTATTAGCATTGTCCAGTCGGGAAGCTACACATAGAGATTCTAGAATATTCTTCCAAAAGATGATTGGATGGAATATCTCTGGCTCTTTCTGAGCTTCTTATGGCTTCCTCTAGTTCACCCGTGAACCGTCCTCATAGTGACGTGGGTTCGAATACTATCGAATGTATCTATTTGATCAGGGTTGTTTAAGTTTCAACTAACTAGTTATCTAAGGGTTCAAGGATTCATGCCAATCTCTTTATACTATATAAGATCAGAAATAATTCAATGAAACGTACAGCCTACTATGGGTAAACAAACCAACTTCTGACAGAAGAGGAAATTAGGGAAACACGTTGGAAATGGGTAGGATATACATTGAAGAAATCATCAAACTGCATCACAAAGCAAGCGCTAACTTGGAATCTTGAAGGAAAACGGAAAAGAGGAAGGTCGAAGAACACATTGCGTCGAGAATCGGTAGCAGACATGAAAAGGATGAATAGTCACTGGAAAGGATTGTCCAGGACAGGGTTGAATGGAAAATTCTGGTGACTGGCTTATGCTTATCCACGAGAGGTAATAAGCGTAAGTAAGTAATGATGAAACGTTCATAGTCTAGTCTTAATACATACTGAACTTCGGTGAATTTAAACGATTATTACCAACAACATGGATTTTGAAATGAAATAATTCAATTGTAAATTCCAATTCCATGAATATTTCTTGGAAAATAACGTTGTTTTTTTAATGCTTCTAGGTATAAATGGATGGTAATTTTCTAGCTTATTGTTCTTCGATTTGAATTTGCACTAGGTAAACAGTATAATACTGATAACTTAAGACTGGAATAAGGATAGTATCCAATTTGTTAGCGGGATAGAGATTGGATTAAAGCATGTACCATGCACGATCGCGTTAGTACACACTGATTAGCTATTTCTTATTCAATCAGACCTAGTCGATACTTGGAGAAGACTCTAGAATTTTCTCATGTAAAAACTATGAATATATTAATGTTTCTCTTATTGTGATTGTTGCATCCGTTACTTTTGTTATTTAGAATATAACTTCTTTCCTATTCAACCGTGTTCTGATTTAGGGACTTGTCAAGTGAATTGGTGTCCAAGAATACTTACCCGACCGAAGCTGCTACCTTGACGCGGTGGTCGGGCTTGCCTATCGTGATGACCCAACCGAGCTATATTGGCTGGAACATATGTTCCTGTAGGTTCTACCATGCCAGGCAGGTCGATTGGTGAACGGTAAGACTAAAAGCAGCAACTCAAGGTCTGAGGGCGAAGTCGTACTGCTGACTGTAGAGAGGTGTGACAGCAGTAAGGTGTTTCCTTCGGACAACCAGCATGACAGCGATGCTGCCTTCCCACAAGGAGGGGTGGGGTTAGAAAAGGTCGACCCTAAAAATGTCACACCTCACCTTACCTCACGGATTTCCGTCTCCGGCGGTAAGGCCCTTTGAAGAACGGAGCTAACACGTCAAAAACCTTCCACAAAAAGGCCGTGCGCGACCGGCCTCAAGCAGTTGTCCCTTGGGCTCTGCGGTCACGCTCCCAGGTCGTCAAGACCAACACTAATCCAATTTCCTTTTCAGGTTCCTCAAGAAATACCCTTCCACGGTGTGGGCAGCCGGGAAGTGACATCAGCCCTCATACCCGTAACAGCACAAGAGACCAAGGTGGTCACATTCAAATCCTTCCTACACCTCCTAATACCTCTCTTATCTCCATGACTAACCCTCCTCACGTCTCTTTATCACCTCGCACCGCTAGGGCAAACGATTCGAGTACGTGGAACGCCATTCCTGGTCTCCTGAAACCACGCTCTAAACTACACGTAGGAGCTTTTAACGTACGAACACTTTGCCAAATAGGACAGCAGGCTTCCTTAGCTAAAACTTTAGAATCTCGCGCCATCGATGTGTGCTGCGTCTCCGAAACGCGCATACAGGATCCAAGTAGCGTCATTCATTTGACCTCACCATGCCAAAATAAAGAACCGACTCGATTTACGCTTCGTGTATCTGGAAGCCCTGATTCTGCTTCCCGTGGCCTCGCCGGCGTAGGTATAGCATTGAGTCCTAGGGCAGAACTAGCTCTCTTAGAGTGGATCCCAGTAGACAGTCGTTTGTGCGCTGTCCGACTGAACGGAACAGTAAGAATCCGGAAAGATAGGGACACTCTAAAAAAAAAAATCGTCGTCTCTGCCTATTCTCCCACTGACTGCAGCTCAGATGATGTAAAAGATGAGTTTTACAGAAAGCTTTCGGACCTTCTCCGAAAAGCTAAGCGCTCGGATGTAGTAATAGTGGCCGGTGACTTTAATGCTCAAGTAGGTAAACTAAGCGATAGGGAAAGACACCTAGGTGGATCTTATGGTGTCGTGGCTCAAAGAACAGATAATGGCGACCGTCTGTTGCAGCTATGCTCAGATAACCGCCTGTTCCTTGCAAATACTAACTTTAAGCATAAGGAAAAACATCTTTTAACATGGCGACCCCCTAATTCGTCCCAACGTTGGACCCAAATAGATCACATCGCTATCAGCCACCGATGGAGGGGCTCGATAGAAGACTGTCGCTCATTCTGGAGCACATGCCTAGATTCAGATCATGCTCTAGTGCGAGCGCGTATTTGCTTGCGTCTTACTGGACGTAGGAAAGACGCTGCAAGGAAACCTCTTAGGGCCTACTTAATGATAGTCAAGCTAAGAGTATATTTCAGGAACAACTAGGAAAACAGTTAGGCAGCCATGTATGTGATGCCCACCCCGATGCAGCATGGAATGATATCCGAAAAGCTGTGGAAACAGCAGTGATATCTGCTAGTAAGGTAAACCAGAAGGTTAGGGAGCAACACTGGATCTCAGCAGCATCTATCGCACTGATAGATGCTCGGAAACTCATTCCACCTGGCTCTGAACATAATGAAGATCGGAGTCAGCGAAACAATCTCAGAGAAAGATGGACATATTATTCATTCTCAATCCAGGAGATTGGATCGATGGGCAGAACACTTTAGGGATCAGTTCAACTGGCCTTCAGCCACACTTCGGTTTCCCACGATCTCCAGTCAACCTGAATGGCAAGTTAATGTAGGTCCTCCGACTCTTTACGAAGTTGAAAAAGCCATAGGAAATCTGAAACGAGGGAGAGCAGCAGGCCCTGACAGGTTTACTCCTGAGATTTTTAAGGATGGTGGTCCAGTATTAGCAATGAGATTAACCGAGGTCTTAGGTAGAATTTGGGAACTGGACGTAATCCCATCTGACTGGTCTCAATCACTGATTGTGCCAGTCTATAAGAAAGGACAAAAGTCCTCTTGTGACAATCACAGAGGAATCAGTTTGACTAATATAGTGTCTAAAATATTAGCTTCAATAATACTTCGACGCCTAATCAAAGCTCGTGAAGAGCAGACTAGAGAAAACCAGGCTGGTTTTCGACCTGGACGTGGTTGTATAGATCAGATATTCACACTACGTCAGGTTCTAGAACACAGACACACATTCAGACGCCCCACAATGGTAGTATTTCTCGACCTTAAGGCGGCATTCGACTCTGTTGATCGTGAGGTTCTATGGCAGTGTTTGTCACTGAAAGGAGTACCAAAGAAGTACATTAACCTTATAAAGGCTCTCTACTCGAACACAACTGGTAGAGTGAGAGCTTATGGCGAACTGTCATCAGAATTGATTACCTCAAGTGGTGTTCGTCAGGGCTGTCCACTCTCCCCATTCTTGTTCAACTTTGTGGTCGACGTACTTTTAGAGATAACACTCTCCTCATCTAAATTTCCAGGGGTTGAACTTCTACCGGGAGGTTCACTTGTTGACTTAGAATATGCTGATGACATAGTTTTATTTGGTGAAGACGCTGACAAAATGCAGAGTCTTCTGACCACTCTAAGCAACAATGCAAGCATGTTCGGGATGCGATTCTCTCCCTCGAAATGCAAAATGTTGCTTCAGGATTGGGTTACATCGACACCCGAACTAGTGATAGGGAGTGAAGTAGTTGAGTGTGTCGACCGCTTCACTTATCTTGGAAGTCTCATCAGCCCTTGTGGTTGGTGTGTGACGAAATCTCAGCACGGATACAGAAGGCTCGACTAGCTTTTGCCAACTTGCGTCATTTATGGCGTAGGCGAGATATCCGTCTATCAACCAAAGGACGTGTTTACTGCGCAGCAGTTCGTTCCGTCCTACTTTATGGCAGTGAAACATGGCCGGTAAGAGTAGAGGATATTCGTAGGTTACTAGTATTTGATCATAGGTGTCTTCGAAACATTGCTCGTATATCATGGGACCATCGAGTAAGTAACACAGTTGTTAGGAAACGGGTACTAGGTAAGGATGGCAAATCAATTGATGAAGTAGTGAAACTTCATCAGTTGAGATGGCTGGGACACGTGTTACGTATGCCCAACGACCGACTGCCTCGACGTGCTATGTTCAGTGGTATAGGAGTAGGTTGGAAGAAAGCTAGGGGCGGCCAAACCAAAACATGGCACAAGTCCATGAAGTCACTGACAAGTGGACTGAGTCATGTTGGTAGGTGTAGACTACCTGGTTGGGGACCGCGAGATGATAGCAACCGATGGTTAGAGACCCTGAATGACATGGCTCAAAATCGTTTGCAATGGCGCAGGTGCATCCACTCTCTGTGTTCTCCCAAATTCTAATCTCCTTATTCCTTCATGTCCTTTTTTTCTCCTCCCAAATTTATTTCACTGGATTATACTCTTTAAATAACATCTCCAAACCCTAATCTTCCCGATTACTGCTTATACTCTTATTACCTCTACCACTACGGGATTTGAATCGACAACTGCATCTCTGTGCTAATGTGGTGTGGCAACTCGAACTGATGTACGTACGTACGAAGTTCTACGTTGTTACTGACTGACTGACTGACTGACCAAGAATACTTAACAATAGCGATTCATAAGTTCATTGAATCTAGATCATCATAGAATATCTAGAATCACTGGACAATCATTTCGTCTTGGTATGGGACTCCTCAGTAGTGCGCAACCATAATCCCACGTCATGGGATTCGAACCCAGGACCTGACAGTCTCTTGTGTTTCCAGACTTTCTATAGTGATCTAACTTCAATTGATTTATGAATTGAACTATAAAATTACTAAAATCTTCACAAAACTACCTTCTGATAGTTCTTTGTTTGGTTTTCTTTTTAACTCATACTTACTTTTGATAATTTATCATATTCTCTAATATAAGTGAAAATAGGTCACTTAATACAATATGAACATTCTTCTCCCAATCTCTGTGAAATAAAGAAAAAAAATACATAAATTACAAAATGAATGATTGAATTATTCAATTTGTTTAAATGATTTTAATTAGTTTCATTCACAAACACACATATTAATTGATATCATGAATGGATGAATGTTAGATCAACATTGAAAACCTGGAAGCATTGGAAAGCATTTTCGTTCTAGCATGAGACTCTTTAATAATGCACATCCATGATCTTGCATGTGAGACTCAAACCCGGGACATTCAGCTTTATGGATGAATGCTTAACTTCTAGACCACTGAGACGGTATTTTGCGTACTGGATCGTAGATGCGTAGAAGTCCCATACTAGGATGAAACAATTGTCCAGTACTTCTAGGTTTTCAATAATGGTCTAACATTCATTCATTCATGATATCAATCTTCACGATCCTATCACTGATAAATATGAATACTCTTCTAAAAAAAAACATGTAGAAACTGCTTGAACGTTATCAAAGTATTCTGTATCATACATTCGATTAAAGAAAAGTATTGTCAACACAATATACACAAAATTATAAAAGATGCCTTCTTTTTTTAAAAAATAACTTTTCATTCAATTGAACATTCAAAAACATTTATTGCATGGGTTCGAACACAAATCAACTGTAGTTTCTTCAAAGAATAGGTGATGATGATGATGATGAAAACACATCAGATATTGTAACTTTATTACATGGACTCCGTAGTATCTAACTTCGTAATCTATTGTAAGTTTTATATGAAAGTATGTGAATATATTAGACTGTTAGCATACAGAATAATTTACTTGGTAGAAATCTAAAGCTTAAAAGTTGATTTCATGTGTCAATCGAAACAAGACTATCATGAAAAACGAAGAAGCACTGAACACATCCACCATTGTCTTCAGTGAGATACGACCTCACAACAAACCTGGTTGAACTCCACTAGTCACTAATTAATTACTATAATATCCACAAACCCTTTTTCTGATAGAAATCTACAGGATAAAAAATTATTGCAATTTAGATGTACAGTTTAAAAATAACAAGTGACCCATAGCTTTGATCAGGCTTTATAACAATACAACGATTCGTATATGTTAGACATTACAAGGATCCTTCCGAACAGCTTACACCGTATGATATACTGGATCCACAAACAAAACAGTATATGAATCAGCACACGTTAAAAGGTGTGAAAACAGTTTCTGTTGAAATGACAGTAATATGTGCAATTTTGTGATCCAGTAAATGTCGGTGTACTTGAATTTTATATGTAAGGACTGGTAATATAACATTCCTAGTGAAATTGAAACATCTAAAGGAGGATTAAAACCTAAGAGTTTTGTGTTCAAACTTACAACTGATTGATCACTGGGTGGTGATTAATGTCATTTATATCAGTTCCTTCTTAGTGCGGATCGAATTCTATCGACCGAGCTGCAATGTGACCACCAGTCTAGGTGACTCGATATTGCGTGCACTATGTTGAGATACGATGGTCGTTAAAGGTAGTCAACAGGAAACCATGGACCTAGGTTTCCCATATGAGTTCATTCGCGGACCGGATAGCTCAGTGGTAACGTCTCTGACTGTGAAGCTAGGTAACACGGGATCTAGTCAGTATAAGAAAATATACACAATCATAGTTGTTTCAACATATTCACTTTTTCACTTTCCCCTTAATTCAGAAAGTTCAACGAGTGCATGTTATCTATACACTCATTATTTAACTATGTTCTGCTTCTATAAGTTCGTTCTTTTTTTCTGATTTCATCTATTCGTTCCACTGGAATAAGAATTGATATGTAACAAAAACCAAACTTATATGAATCTCTTTACGTATGTTAAGATACTACTACTTCACCAATATTACCATAGACAGTTTTTATGTAATTATTTTAGTCGTTAGAATCGACGTTGGTTCAGAAGTCTGTTTTTGTTCATAATATACTCTCAGGGTGTCTTACTGACGCATTGCGCCAATTAAACAAAGGTTAAAAGATAATCCCGCATTACTGAAAAAGATCTGGTTTCCTTTTCTAAGACAGAACACACCACTGGGTGGAGATGTGGGTACATGGTTTTAGGAAAGGGAGAGGAGAGGGTGTATATTATGAATGAGTTTACATATATTCTTAATTCAGTTTTAGTCCATAAAGCTTTTTCTGACTGTCGATGTTCTTAGTTTTTTTATTTAATTAAATACATAAACGTTGGTACAAGGAGACACCAAAAAGATATGTGCCACATAAATCATTCGATTAGTGTGAAAGCCGGGATACTGTCCGGGTGGTGTTCTTAGGGGGTCACACCCCGAGCCTTTGACGTAAAGATCTAATCCTCAGGGCAGTGGAGCAACGTCAGAAGATGCAGTCTCACGGTAGCCGGTTACCAACAACAGGTTCATACGCCATTTTGTCCCTTCAGGATACTAGAGCCCATGTGCAATATTGGTTTGGAATAAGGGTTTCCCAATTTCCTTAAGTGGATTATCCATATCCACTAACCCGGTTGAAGCGCCGGACATTATCCTCCGAATTTCGGAAACAATACCCCCTCCACGAGAAGGAATCGAGTAGAACTATCCTGACAGTGGTTGTATGCACGTGGCCACTTGAGAGCATTTCGAGAAAGAGAGCTGACTATCTTCACTCTCGGCCGTACCAGAGCATTTGAGGACTGTTGATATTCTCACACAAGTTTTATAAGAAACTTATATATAACATTTACTTTAATAATAGATTAAATCGATTCTACAGAAAAAAGGATCAACTAATGATAGAATAAATATTTAGTGTAACTACATGTCATAACTCTTCTAAATGAAGACCTTCTAACTTCCAGAACAGAGTTTATATGGTTTGAATCATTTTTTCTGGTTAGCGTTTTCTTTTTACCGAGTTAGTTTTTTACAGGATGGGGTCGCTAACCCCACTCCCAACCTTGTTCCTTTGTCCGGGCTTGAGAGCGGCAATAGCCCCATAGAGGGGGGGGACTACAGGTGGAGTGTAACTACATACCTAATATATATATATATATATATATATATATATATATATATATATATATATATATTGATTGTCACATTATTGTAATATGTTATTTTTCCATTGCTTATTAGTAGTATGTAGAAATAGTTTTAAAAAAAAGTCACCTATTCTATGTTTTATGTGATCCAAACCAATTAAGTATGTATTTTTCAAGTGTAAGTAATTCTTTATCTAAATATCTACTTATATTAAACGTACATGGAATATTTATACGAATATTCTTCAAGATTAGAACGAATAGTTTGATAGAAAGATTATTAAAAATGAAAGAAAAACTAAACTAGAATGTATACGAAAAGTTTGGAAGTACACCATAGTCATACCATACCGTAGTGAAACCTTCAGAAGAAATCAAGCAGATTCTAAACAAACATGATATAAAAGTGTATTTTTGGGGCGAGTAACACCTTAAGATCGACACTAATGGAAGTTAAGGACAGGTTACCAAAGGAAGAACAATAGAATATGGTGTATGAGATCAACTGTCATGATTGTAATGCAGCCTTTGTTGGAGAAACATCTAGACAATTGAATGTAAGATTGAAGGAACGCAAACAATGTTTGAAAAATGTGTCCCAAATCCTCGGTTGATTTGAAGAAATTTGAGAATAAGTCTGCAATAGCGTTACATGCATTAGAAACAGGAAACAAGATTAATTTTGAAAGGATCAAAATACTTCAGAAAGGTTTTAACACCCATAAAGAAAGATTGACAACAGAAGCTCTGTATATATATATGGGCGAACAAGAACAGCCTAAACCGAAAAGATAGTATTCAACTGTTGACTACCTGACAAATTTCGTTTGAACCCTTATCTTTATTCAACCTGTTTATTTCTCATGCATCGTTATTTTTCACAGATTGAAATCATGAGTCAATTGAAGCTAGACCACCATGGAAAACCTGGACGGCCGTTTCGTCCTAGTTTTGGAATTCTCAGCAGTTAGACATTAACACCACTGGATGCCTGCCAGCTCAGTGGTCTAGTTGGTTAAGCGCTTGGCGCGAGACTGAAAGGTCCGGGGTCCGAATTTTGCGGGGTGCAGGGTCATGGGTGCGCACTACCGAGGAGATCCACAATAGGACGAAACGGCAATCCAATGCTTAGAGGTTTTCCATGGTGGTCTAGCTTCAATTGACTCATGATTGCAATTTGTGAAATTTCTAAAATCTCTACAAACCCCTTCTGGTAAGCGTTATTTTCGATTGATTTCAATGAGTTTTTTAGCAATACAATTTAAGTATTTGTTTGACATGTACAACGACGATTCATTAACAGTTTTATCAACCTTGAACTTGTACTTTTTAATTTATTCCTTCATATATCCCATATCAACACAGAATATCAATAATTCATCTCACACATACATACATACCTACACACTCACACATATACAATTTGTTTATTCAGTTAATTATTTTCCATGTATTTGAATTTTTCACATGATTTGTAGTTAACCGCCTCGTTTTATCCCTATTTTTACAAAAAAAATCAACATCCAAATTTTGATTGGTGTAACACAGTATAGTTTTGATTGTTAAAAAGCTATATCAGAAGGGGTTTTGTGAAGATTGTAGTAATTTCAACAGTTGAGATCATGAGTCAATTGAAGCTAGACCACCATGGAAAATGTGGAAGCACTGGACAGCCGTCTTGCCCTAGTATGGCACTCTTCAACAGTGCGTACCAAGGATCCCGCCTCCCGAGACATTCAAACCCAGGACCTATCAGTCTTGCGCCAAGCGCCTAACCAACTAGACCACTGAGCCGGCATCCAACGGTGTTAATATCTAACTTCAACCAATCCACGAAATTGCGCCACCATACACCATTTTCTTCAGTGAGTTGTTATCTCACAACAGACCTGGTTGAACTCCACTGGTAACGGCTTCTCACTAGAACTCCATGAGTATCTCTTGAAGTCAGTCACTAGTGAGCAGATAATTATTATCAGAATGGGTTTTGTGGAGATTGTAGTAATTTCAACAGTTGAGATCATAAGTCAATTGAGGCTGAGGAGTCCCACAAAAGGACAAAACACCCGTCCAGTGCTTCCAGGCTTTCCATGATGGTCTAGCCTCAATTGTCTCATGATCTCAACTGTTGAAAAAGCTATATATTTCTTTGATGATTTTGATTATTCTATCCTGAAGAAGTCCAGATAAGTTAATTGGACAAACATTGTAATTGTTTTTTTAAATTTCAATCGCTGAGATTATTTCAAATATTATTTTCACACATATAATGTACATGGAATACGTTATAAGATATGCACAGCCTTAACAAAAATACAATCAATTCCTACTGAAAAAAAAGAAAGAAAGAAGCACGCTTCATAAGTGCATAACGTAGTACATAGAGTCAAAGCAAAAGTATCAAAGTATAAGTCTGTAGTATATATAAGAAGGTATGATTTCAGTAATTGAAAGCCCTCTTCCCTGTTTGATACACAATGTCATGATTTATCTTATGCTGTTTTCTATGCTTGCTTTGCTATTTTTTTCCTTGTTAACCATGTGAATATAGAGAAAGAACATTATTATTTCATATGATGTATAGTATACGTGTTATTCAATTACGTAAACTACATATAATCAGAACTATTTCGAATAATATTTCATCACAATGTGATGGGAACAGGTATATATATAGAGAGAGAGCCCTTGGAAGTATGGAGTAATACATAGATATATACATAATAGATAATAAATCATTATGTAAATACATATTTTATATTAGTGCAAAGAAAAAGGTAATTATTTAAAGGATGAAAGACAAAAGAGATTTACAAATAGTAGTAGTGGGGTATGAGTTACTTATAACAATATAAGTAGTATATAACGATAGTCAGGAAGAGAATGTATTTCAATAGAAGATCGAGAAGGAAAGTAATTGAGATGAAAATGCAGGAACAATGAACTGATATTTCCAAAAGGAATAGCCAAGTTTGAGACAATGAATTGGTATTTTGCAAATGAAGTATTTACTATATATGGCTCCCAGATTTTAATAAGATGATAACTAATTCTGTGTTCAAACACATTCGATTGCTCCCAGTCGTGCTCTTGTCCACTACAGTAGTAGTAGCAGTAGTCGTGACATTGAAATAGAATGCAAGGATAAATATATCTATTACAAAGCAACCATTTTTTTGAGCCAGGAAGTTACCAGTATATATGCAACTTTACTATGTACAAGCCTTAGTCTAAAAAGCGATAAGTTTGCACAGTAATCTTAAGCCTATATTCGTACACTCTTAGCTTTTTCTTAATATACACTTATGATAACGATTATTTCAAATTAAGGTAAGTGTAAGGTATTACAATCACTTCATATGATGACTTAGGTCTATAACCTTATTAATTTGTTTATAAGCTGTTAATATAAATTTTACGTACATCAGTTCGAGTTGCCATACCACATTAGCACACAGATACAAATGTCGATTCAAATCCCACAGTGGTAGAGGTAGTAAAAGTATAAGCAGTAATCGGAAACATTAGGCTTTGAAGATGTTATTCAAGGAGTATAGTCCAGTGAAATAAATTTGGAAAGAAAAAAAGAAGAAACATGAAGAATTCAGAACATAAATAATGTATGCACCTGTGCCATTGCAAACGATTTTGAGCCATGTCATTCAGGGTCTCTAACCATCGGTTGCTATAATCTCACGGTCCCCAACCAGGTAGTCCATACCTACCAACATGGCTCAGTCCACTTGTCAGTGACTTCATGGACTTGTGCCATGTATATCTTCACTATTGTTATCTATTCAATTTAAACATTTGTATTCGTCATAAACACGATGTATCATGAACAAAATCTTATTCTTTTGCATTGTAAGTACATTCTAGAATAATTTGATGTCATTTTTTCTACTTTATAGTCAATCAGTTAGTCAGCTACAACGCAGGATCAGGCACATATATGCAACGTTTAAAGTTGCTAGACCTCACTCATTAATCACAATTGATTGACCACTGGGTGGTGATCAACGTCGTGTGTGTCAAGTCCTTCTTAGTGAAGATCGAATGCTATCGACCAAGTTGCAATATGGCTAACCTGGGTCCACGGTTTCCTGTTGACTACATCTAACGACCATCTAACTTCACTAAATTAGTACAACAAGGTGAACAACGAATTCTTAGAAGTAGTTAATTCAATGATAGTAATATATAAAAGAAAGATTGTGTATAGGGATGTAATACAGGAAGAAAAAATTAGTTCACAGAAAGAACGATATTAAGCGATTTCAATCTCATGATTTAAGTGAAGACAAAGAAAAGAGTGTATACACCTATGTCATTGTGATGAGATGAAAATAAATTGGTTATTCTTCAGAACAACTCATTATCCAGTTTACAGTTGGATAAACTACATTTGAAGACATTTCAAATTTGACTGGGAAAAGAGGAAACTACATAATTATTTAAACAAATAAAAACTGAATATCAGTATGGGGTTGTGCAAATTATTGTTTTAGATTGAAATCATGAACTTAAGACCCTGGGTTCGAATCCAAGGCCTTCGGTCTCGAGCGTAGACGCTTAACCTCTAAACCACTGAACTTGCGAGCGGGATGGTGGATGCATAATGCTGAGTCTTACAACAGAACGAAACGGCCGTCCAGTGCTACCAGGTTTTCAATAGTGGTCTAATATTAATCGGTTCATGATCTCAATCAAAAATTGAATAATACAAAAGAATTGACTTACTTTTGTTTGCCTAGAAATTCATGCAATAATTCTTCTGAGCATAATTTATGCATTTCTGGTAATAATTTTTCCAATTCATCTGGTATAGGGAAACCGGCATACTAAAATGGAGTTTTTTTATTTAAAATGAAAAAAATAGGCAGAATGAAAAACAGAACTAACCGAATATAAACATAATTATCATAAAAATTTGCTTACAAACAGTTTATTCAGACAATATTAAAGCTTTATAACATAAAGTTCTTCCGAAGGTATCTGAAAACGAAATAGGGTTAGAGGTGATCTTAGTGGCCTGAGAGCGTGACCTCAATGCCCAAGGGACAACTGCTTGAGGTCGGTCACACACGACCTTTTTGTGAGTAATTTTCGTGTTAGCTCCGTAATTGTTCAGACTTTACCACTGGGACGGATATCCGTGGGATAAGGCGGAGTGTGCATTTAAGGGTTGACCTTTTCTAACCCCACCTCTCCTTGAGTAAAGGCAGCATCGCTGTTATGCTGGTTGCCTGAAAGAAACACCTTACTGCCGTCACACCTCTGCACAGTCAGCAGTACGACTTCACCCCTGGATCTTGGGTTTGCTGATTCTATTGTTACCACTCTTCAGTCGAACTGGAAACGATTGTTCAAGCCAGTATAGCTCAATTGGTTCACCACGATAGGCAAGCCCGACCACAACTTCAAGGTAGCAGCATACATGCTCTTTATGCGGACAGACATAAGTAGTATGTAGCAGAAATTGAAAATGGAATACCTGTTAGCAGAAAGTCAGATCAACGAAACAGGAAGGGAAGTAGGAAGCAATCGTAATAACAGCAAGATTGGAAGAATCATGAAGCACGTACGCTACAACTAAGGGAGGGTGTGCAAATAATGTATTCAATGTATGATTTCATATACGACAACCTGAAGTGATTTTATCGAAAATTATTATTATTATTATTATTATTATTATTATTCAAACACATAAACATTGTTACAAGGAGTCAGTCAGTCAGTAACAACCTAGAACTTCGTACGTACGTGCATCAGTTCGAGTTGCCATACCACATTAGCATAGAGATGCAGTTGTCGATTCAAATCCCGTAGTAGTAGAGGTAATAAGAGTATAAGCAGTAATCGGGAAGATTAGTGTTTGGAGATCTTACTTAAAGAGTATAATACAGTGAAATAAATTTGCGCCATTGCAAACGATTTTGAGCCATGTCATTCAACGTCTCTAACCATCGGTTGCTATCATCTCGCGGTCCCCAACCAGGTAGTCTACACCTACCAACATGACTCAGTCCACTTGTCAGTGACTTCATGAACTTGTGCCATGTTTTGGTCTGGCCGCCCCTAGCTTTCTTCCAACCTACTCCTATACCACTGAACATAGCACGTCGAGGCAGTCGGTCGTTGGCATACGTACCATCAGGCGGCCTGCTTGAATATCTGGGCTACCTGTTCTTCCGATCTAGATATTTCATCAAGTTGTCTGTTTTGTTGTTTGTTTTAGCACATCATTATGTCTGTTGTGCTCACAATTTATTCAGGCGCGTTTATGAAAAGTTTACAACCTTCCGCTATACGGATACAAAAAGGTACAATCAGCGACATCATGGTGGCTGGCAATATGCATTGAAACGAATGAACATTAATCAAATGTGGATTACCGAACTCCTAACATCTAACTGGTCATCATTCAAAATTTATCGTCACAATCGATCAAGATATAAGAAAAGGAAACTTGTTGAAATACTTTATGCTGAGAATTCTATGTTGTACCAAAAACATAATGTTGAATAAAGCTTCTAATAATAATAATAATAATAATAATTAATAATAATACGTAACACGTGTCCAAGCCATCTCAACTGATGAAGTTTCACTACTTCATCAATTGATTTGCCATCCTTGCCTAGTACACTTTTCCTAACAACTGTGTTACTACTCGATGGTCCCAGGATATACGAGCAACATTTCGAAGACACCTATGATCGAATACTAGTAACCTACGAATATTCTCTACTCTTACCGGCCATGTTTCACTGCCATAAAGTAGACGGAACGAACTGCTGCGCAGTAAACACGTCCTTTGGTTGATAGACGGATATCTCGCCTACGCCATAAATGACGCAAGTTGGTAAAAGCTAGTCGAGCCTTCTGTATCCGTGCTGAGATTTCGTCACACACCAGACCACAACGGCTGATGAGACTTCCAAGATAAGTGAAGCGGTCGACACGCTCAACTACTTCACTCCCTATCACTATTCGGGTGTCGATGCAACCCAATCCTGAAGCAACATTTTGCATTTCGAGGTGGAAAATCGCATCCAAACATGCTTGCATTGTTGCTTAGAGTGGTCAGAAGACTCTGCATTTTGTCAGCGTCTTCACCAAATAAAACTATGTCATTTGCATATTCTAAGTCAACAAGTGAACCTCCGGTTGAAGTTCAACCCCTGTAAATTTAGATGAGGAGAGTGTTATCTCTAAAAGTACGTCGACCACAAAGTGAACAAGAATGGGGAGAGTGGACAGCCCTGACGAACACCACTTGAGGTAATCAATTCTGACGACAGTTCGCCATAAGCTCTCACTCTACCAGTTGTGTTCGAGTAGAGAGCCTTTATAAGGTTAATGTACTTCTTTGGTACTCCTTTCAGTGACAAACACTGCCATAGAACCTTACGATCAACAGAGTCAAATGCCGCCTAAGGTCGAGAAATACTACCATTGTGGGGCGTCTGAACGTGTGTCTGTGTTCTAGAACCTGACGTAGTGTGAATATCAGATCTATCAACCACCAAACAAATATGCGCCACATAAATCATTCAATTTGTGTGCTCTAACCGGGTTGGTGGACCCACAGAGTCCACCTAGGAGAGTTGAAAAACCCTCATTCCAAACCACACACAGTTAAGAAAGTTGGGTAACTACTTGGGTTCGATTATAGTTGTCTAATTGAGATTACTTACACCAAGTGTAAACACTGTATGAATAATCAAGTGGTCTGAGATAATGTATTCCGGAATGACAAAGTTGACAGTTTAATGTGGGTTAGTGTTTTACAGTGCTCATTTTCATGGCTTGTTCATATTTTACGCACATCATTAAGTGCTCCTATACTGTACCAACGCTTGAAGTGTATGGTAGAAGTTAAGACGTTATCGGTTCATGATATAGAAGTTATTAGGAAAACTATAATCCCCTAGTCCGTCACAAAGCGGTAAACGTAATCCTATAAGTACACAAACTCATTAGCTTTAGAACTCATCAAAGATGATTTAGAATAGAAGAGATTAGTTAACCTGCCATAGTAGTACGAGTATTAGTATCGATGGCCTATCAAATGATCTCAATAATATATTATTTTCAACTTGACAAACGACATAGAACGATAGTCTAAATAATAAATATTCATAAGAACAAAAACATATAGTGAAGTACTGGCACTGACCTTACGAGCTAAATAATCATCTCTTACAAAATAAATTGGACAATCATAATCTGTAGATCGTTGTTCAACACAATCCAATAGTTTGTCAACACCTATAAAAGAAAAAATAGGTGAATAGTTATTTGATAACATCAAAAAGGTACAAGTATTTATAAACAATTGTCTACACAAGATACCATCTGCAACAACCTAGTGTAGGAGAGAACAACCCAGGTTTCAGATGAAGAGGAAATTAGGTAAAGATGTTGGAAGTGGATAGGACAAGTATTACAGAAAGCATCAAACTGTATCATAAGGGCAAGTGCTAACTTGGAATCATAGAAGAAAACGGAAATGAGGAAGATCAAATAACAGACTGCGTAGGGAATCGGAAACAGACATGAAAAGGATGAATAGCAACTGGAATCAACTGGGAAAGATTGTTTAGGATAAAGTTGTGTGGAGAATGCTGATGGGCAGTCTATTCTCCTCCATGAGGGGTAAAAAGCGAAAGTAACAGTAAAGCGTTGTAACAGTTTACAACTGAATAAAAGATACTAAGAAAAGTAAGAAGAATTGAATAGATAAATAAACCATCCACAATAAACTTAGCTGACAAAAGTAATAAGTTAATAATAAATATAATTTTGTTATATCCCGATGAGTAGGAGAATTATATTTCTAACATTTCGTGACTTAATTTAAGCTACTTCTTCAGAGTAAATAAATAACCATCCAGTACTTCCAGGTTTTAACTAGTGGTCTAATATCAATCGATTCATGATCTCAATAAAAAAACGACTTTAAATTAACACTATTTAAACTTCTATTAATTTAATGTCGGTAATTTTTGCTTACTCTGAAGAAGTAGCTTACATTAAGTGACGAAACGTCAAAAATACAATTTTTTTTATTCATTGAGATCTAACATAAATTTATGTATTATTAACCCTCCATCTTACTCTATATCAAGTTCAAACCTTGGTATTCATACTTATAATAATAAGTTACTTCGGGTAGGAATTCAAAGATGTGACTTAGAGTACAAAGCATATATTTACAAATAGTTTTGATGGGAAAACATTTGAATTCGGTATCCGATAGTTATATTGTCAATATAGAAAATAATTTTAGATTTTATTCTGAATATGTGTAACAGATAGTTTAATCAAACAATATTCCAAGTATGAGACAGTAAGCGGAAATTTCTAATAGTTGAATTCATGAGTCGATTAAAGCTACACTACACTAGACAGTCGTTTCGTCTTAGTACGAGACTCCTCAACAGTGCACATCCAAGATCATGAACGCGAAATTTGAACGCAGAACCTTCGGTCTCACAGTACTATCATTTTTCATTTGTTTGTTGGTAGTAGATATGATATCAATATGTTTTGAATTAATCATGGAATAAACAAGACATCATTATCAATAATTTGAATTATATTTTGTATTACTTTTTGTACACTGGAGCTGTCCTCTTTCTTACAATTTATCTGAATAAGCAAAGATAGATAGTAGCTAGCAGTAGAATCAGGGATGCGCGTTTCGTCCTATTTGGGACTCGTCAACTGGATGTACTTACATCTGAGTTGATGTTCACTTCAGCATTCGAACCCAGTACCGTTCGCTTCAAACATCATCGCGTTATCCACATAGCTACTGAGTCACAGGGTGAATATCAACTCTGAGATGCAGGTACATCCAGATGACGAGTCCCAAATGAAACGAAGTACGCGTCCTAGATCCCACTGCTAGCCACTATCCATCTTTGTTCATAAAGCTTGTGTCTTCAGGCAATATTGAGGCAGTCCGCACAGGATGCATATACGCCAACATGAGACTGATCAATTGCAGTTCTAAATAACAATGTGAAGATACAAGTAAACAACATCAAGTGAATTTATCTGAATGTTGATAATTTACACTTTTGAACTATTTAATTTCTGAAGTTATACTTGCACTATCTATTACATTGTTCTTGTGATTATCGAAATTTCTTAACTTGATGCTCTTATCAATCTTTTCGCGATTCTATAAATTAAATGAAAACAATTTATATGATAGATTGACTTTAGCGAAACATAATCAATGGAAATATGATGGCATTGGATAGCTAACAGTCTAGAACTGTTAAACAATGTACACCTACAAAATTAAAAGGAGTAGGATCAATGACAAATGTGTCAACTTCAAATTATTGTCATTCAGATTTTTTATCTTGTGTTGTCACAACTCTATGCTATATTTGAAGCTTGATTAAGAAACTTCTGTGAATGTGAGAAAACCTTTTTTCATTATAAGCAAAGATGGATAGTAGCCAGCAGTAGGATACACGACACGCGTTTCGTCCTATTTGGGACTCGTCAACTGGATGTACCCTACATCCTAGTGTTGATGTTCACTTTGGAACTCGAATCCAGTACTGTTCGCTTCATACGCTATCGGATTATCCACTTAATTACTAAGTCCTGATAGCCATTTACTTGTGTAATGAGGTGAAGTTTAAATTCACTTGGTATAGTTTACTTGAATCTTCCCATTGATGCCTTTAGGAATGCAATTGATCAGTCTCTTATTGGTATATATGTATACTGTGTGTATTGCCTCGATATTGCATTAAGTCACAAGCATCATCACATTCAAGTAAAACAAAGGGTTATCAGGATTCAGTAGCTAAGTGAACAACGCGATGGGGTTTGAAGCGAATGGTACTGGGTTCGAGTCCCACAGTGGACATCAACTGCAGGATGCAAGTACATCCAGCTGACGAGTCGTGGATCCCACTGCTAGTCACTATCCATTTTTGCATAGGTTATTTGATTGTCTAACTAATATTGTCGCTGTATTTCTTGGTAATTCTATCCTTCCAAATTATTCACGTTACTGATTTCGTTTAGGATTAATTTATTTTACAAACGTAATATAATTTCTGAAGTATTTAACGAAAAGTGTAATAATTTATGACTTACCGATAATCATAAAATTTTGTTTGACTCATGCAACTTCTAGAGTAATGCGTTTTAACAGTCGAATTCACGAGTCAATCTAAGTTAGACCACTGTATGGCCGTTTAGTGCTAGTATGAGACACCCGAACAATGCATATTCGCGATTCCATACGCGAGACTCGATCCCAGGACCTTCAGGCTTGCGTGTGAATGCCTAGCCTCTAGACCACTGAGCCGGCATCCAACACTGTTAATGTCTAACTACAACGGACCCATGATCACTAGTGACTAGCTTCAAGATGGATTTCCTAGAATTCCAATGAGAAGCCGTGTCCAATGGAGTCCAATCTATATAGGGTGGAGACAGTTACCCACCTCAGACAATGGATGAATGGTTGAGTAATGATGGTGAACACAAATAGATTATATCACCAGCACCAACCGTTTAAGGGTATCAATAGAAGACTAACACCCCTACTGAAGTATATGCTTGAAATCTAATCACTTCCTACCCTAATGAGAGCACGTATTTCCATGCGCTTTACTAGATATCAATTCGAAGATAAAAAGGTGAATGATATATCCAGTAAAAATTTAGCCAAGAACTAAGTTGATCATCGAGAAACAGCTCATACTGAAGAAGCCTGGAACGATATCCAAACACCTGTCAGTATATAAGTAACATGTATCAACATCTCAAATCAAAAGGTTAAGAATGACCAGTAAATTTTGATGGCATCTACTGAATTTATAGATGCTCGACAACTCATTCCATCAAGCTTGAAGAACGATGAAGTTCGAAGACAATTCAGACGTAAACTAATAAAAACTTTAGACAATCATAATGAACAGTGGTAAACGACGAAAACAAAAGAGATGGAAAAAGAAGTGAGCTATAGGTGACAACAGACAACTTTACCGAATGATCAAGGAAATATATGTTTAAAAAGGCAGATTTTGGTGACAATGTCTTGAAAAGGGTGAAAACTTTATCCATTCTAAATCTGGTAGAACTCCTTAGCAAACAGTTCAACAGATTTAGAGCTACACTTTAATTACCGTATGTCCTAAACCAAACTGAATGTTAAATTGTCACGTTTCCCAACCCTTGATGGGGTTGAAAAGGCTAAATCCAGTCTAAAACGAAGATCATTAAATTCTGCTTCATTAAACTCGGAGCTCTGAAGGGAAGATAAAAAAGTTTAAGCAGTTAAGCTGACTGAGATATTGGATTAAGTTTGGAAACTGGATGTTATTCTATCTGACTGGCGTCGATTGTTTCAGTTTATGAAAAAGGAAAAAGCATATCTTAAGATAACCATAGAGGGACCACCTTGACTAACATGACCTCAAAAATTAGACTTAATAATCCCTTAATGTTTACCTAGTGCGATAGCAATTCCCAGAAAGCCAATCAGGTTTCAGATTTGAACGTGAGATGCTCAGTATCCCCATTTTTAATTACTTCTATCTTTGACGTCCTCCTTGAAATAAAATTTTCTTTAATCAACCCTTTAGGAGTCGATCTCCTACCAAGAAGTTCACTGATCGACTCAGAACACGCTCATCATATGATCCTATTTGGTGGAGACCCCAATAAAATTTAGTATTTTGATCGATTTGAGCGACAATGCTAACATGTTTGGAATGAGTTTTTCTCCCTCCAAACTAATGACAGCGGGTGAATTGTTTGAACTTATCGACTACTTACTTCACTTAGAAATCTCATCAATCCCGGTGACGAAATCTCGATATGAACTAGGAAAACCCGGCTGTCTTTTAGCGCTTGGCATTACTTATGGCGTGGACAATATGCCCGTCTCCCTACCAAAAGGCCTGGATAATTAATTAATTATTTGTTTATTTGAACACATATATATTGGTACAAAGTACACCAAATATATATGCGCCACACAAAACAATGGGAATTTAGGAAGAAAAAAAATGAGGAACGTAAAAATATTTTTAAACAAAAAAACAATAATGAAGAGATTGGTGTAAGGGAGTGGAGTAATAATCATAGTCATAATGGGGGACGGAAAGGTACAATCAGAACAAATCTATCAGTTAAGGAAGAAACAACCACTTTTATGAAGAAAGTAAAAGGTTACAGCAGGATCGCCACTGGCTTCTATTCTGAGCCATATCTGATAACGTCTCTAGCCACTGTGTAGCACCATCTCTCAGACCCCAACCAGGGAGT